CCACATCTTTTCATTTCAATCCCTTCTCATAATAAAATATATATTTTGACTGGAAAAGTAGTTTGGTACATGTAAATTTAATCGATGTATCTTTACTATCTAAAGTTTTAACAAATTCCAGTGAACAACCAATTTTCACGTGCAAAGCGCACGTATTTCACATTGATCCGAAGACAAAAAAGTCTTGGGTGTCCGCATCCACAGCAGCAGTATCTGTCTCATTTTTCTATGATTCCACAAGAAGCTTGTACAGAATAATATCTGTCGAAGGGACAAAGGTGATGAAATAATAATGTGTCATTAATATTGTAAACCATTTATTAAAAGTGTTATATACATATTTTATTTTTTTTTAGGCAGTAATAAACAGTACTATTACTCCAAACATGACCTTCACGAAAACGTCACAAAAGTTCGGACAGTGGTCAGACGTTAGGGCCAACACTGTCTACGGTCTTGGCTTTTCGTCTGAGGCAGAGTTAGGAAAGGTTTGTGAAACGTGTCATTAGTTAAGTCGCAACATCGCGTCGTCTGTACAGCACAATCTCAGAGACAATACTATTCGTTTGACAGTTCATAGAGAAGTTTCACGAAGTGAAGGAAGCCACTAAATTGGCTAGTGCCAAATTGCAATCGCACAGTTCATCTGTTACCCCTGCTACTAGTGCAAATGTTAGCCCGATCACGTCTAGATCGGGCATGCCGTCAACAGAACAAGATCTTATAGACCCGCCGAACTCGTCAATGATCAATTCGAATGTCTCGGCATCAAACAATCCAAATCCAAATGCCAACATGATCTCTACTCAGAACAGTGTAAATTTGGTAAGCAGCAGTCCCTTACCTGGTAGTTGTCAGAATAAAGTGGATGATGAATTGAAAAATGCAGTCCATTCAAGATCACAGAGTATTTCTCAGCAGAGTACAGAAAGTCCACAACATCAAGGGAAGTCACAGCTTAGTTCAACCCAGGGTGGACAATCAGCTGAAATGCAGCTTAAGTATGAGAATGATAGGCTGAAACTGGCACTGGCACAAAGCTCCGCGAACGCTAAAAAGTGGGAGGTGCGTTTACACGTTAAACAATGCCAAGGCATTTCAATATGCATGCAGTTTAGATATTTTGTAAATGCACAATCCACAGTCTAATACACTTTTAAAATTTGATTTCAGGTCGAATTAACTACGTTGAAATCGAATAATGCTAGATTAACGAGCGCTCTGCAAGAGTCCACAGCTAACGTCGACGAATGGAAAAGGCAATTACAATTATACAAAGAAGAAAATGCAAGAATTAAAGCTAAATACGCAGATCTGGAATCTGGAAAAATAGCAGAAGGCAATAGCGAAGCGTTAAGGTTGAGGGTTGAAGCATTGGAGAATGAACTTAGGACAAGGAACGAAGAAATCAAAGCTCTTACCATGGCAACAAAAAATAAAGATTTTGTAGTACGTAATAATACTATATTATACAGTGAAGCTCTATTCTAACATAAAATTGTCGACCTATTTGTAACTAAATAAACATTTTATTCTGTAGGCATTACAAAAGGAGAACGCTGAGCTTCGTGAAATGTTAAGGGTTGTCCATGAACAATTAGAGCTTGCGTTAAGCGCGAACAAAGTCCAAAAACAGAATCTGGATACGCTGAACGTCAGACTAGCTGGGTACATACAAGATCTGGTAACTGTACATCGAGAAATTACAAACACGTTGCAAACTTAAATTTACGTGTAGTGATACCTAAGAATATTCTTCATGGGAGTTTTGTATTTATGATATAAGCGAAGTATACAAATGGACGGTGTAGATTAAATACAAAGGGAGAAGTTCCAAAAAAACATGCATAGTGAACAAAAAATAATAAAGTAAGAACGCTATCTTGAAATGATAAAGATAGATCGCATCATTTTAAAGTATTTATTCTGTGTTAAGTTAACGATGACGTTTAATGTTTTTCTTCGTAGACTGTGCCATACTCTGAATATAAAAAAATGTGTTCTTTTTTTAACACGGTTTTATATATTCCTTTTTTTCTTAATCTGTACATTCGCAAACGTACGAGAGAGTTTCATACATCAGAACGATTGTAGAAAATGTTTTTACCTCGGCACAAACGGGAGCGTGCATCTTTTTAAGCTATCGCGTATCTACGACATTGTATTATAAAAATAATTTTAGTACTGTTTTTTATATATTATTTAATTTAAACGACTGTGTATTACATTTTTTACGAAACCTGTTACAATCGACCTTTGTCATCCATCGAAGTTTATACGCATAGTTCGTTTCTTCTACTAACTGTGTTTAAGTGTTTAAACAAATAAATTATAATTGCAATTACACTGCAGTGATCATTATCATTACTAATGCTATTTCACTAATTACTATCGATCTTCAACTCATAATTAAGCTTCGAAACTTACTATAACTAAATACAACTATTATTATGATTATTAACGCTATTATAACTACCTCTACTGCTATGGCTGCACTACTACTTGCTGTTATTATTGCTCATAGTATCATCGTTAGTGCTACTTCTATAATTGTTACTACTGTTACTGTCCATCAGAGAGTTGTCATTACATGCCTACAAAGAAACTTCTATGATACTTAGAAACATAAAACATATCAAAAAATGTTACAAGGTTTAGTGTAATACATGGTTTCCGATGTCTTTTTGGAACTTAGCCCCTTGACGACAACAATAAAATTATAAACAAAACTAAAAGATTATAAACACAAGGAGAAATGCACAATTAACACTAGTAACGTTTAGTGATACTTAATTATGTAGTATATATCTATTTAATTCAGCTGTACATTGTATCCATATTGTTCTATCATATATTATTTACCTTTATCAATGGTATCAAATTCTATCAAATTGAAGAGTCTGGCATGAGCTGTACAGAACCATTGATACACGGTGATCCCCGTTAATATTCAGGTATATTTCGAAACGGAATCACTTCTCTAATATTTAATTAAACAACTTGTTTAGTTAACTAAGTTTTGTAACAGCCCACACAGAAAATTAAATTGTTTAGCGGAATATTAAAAAAGTTATTCCGTGTTGAAATGTCTCCGAATATTAATAGGAGTCGCTGTACATAAAATATTACATGAAAAATATATTATAGAGCTCATTCTTAGTGAGTAACTTAGCAATCTCAACAAAACGTGATCAAATGAGCAACAAACGTTTTTTACATGATAAATGCTTTGTTAATCTTTTATAAAAAAGAAAGAAGACGATAACGTGCGTTAGTTTGTTGAACGAATAAATGTAATGTTCCCCGATGTAATTGATTTGTTCTTATCATTTGCCATCGTCTCGTAATTCTGATACATTCTAAGAGCGATCAAGCCAGATATTCTTCAATATGTTGTACTTGAATATAGTATAGGTTCGTTAGGAAACAAAATTTATCCAAATGATGCCGAACGACGACCTCTTCGAGGACGTTCAGGTGATATTTCTAAAGAACAATAATTTGTAGTAGTAAATGAAGTGCGAAATACTGAAAGAAAGGGCACTTTTTATTGTACTGACAGTATGTATGTATGTACGTAAAAAGAATGTTATGGAGATGAATTTTAAATTTTAGAGGAATTGGAAACAAAAGCCTCGCTTGCCACATGTAATCCTAATAAAAACATTCTCAGATGGCTTTCTGTGTCTTTCTTACCCGTATTTTCATACGTTACATAATTATTTCGAATTATTTAGATTAAAATTCAAGAATGATTTATATAATACTAATAATTATTCTGGTATATTCTTCGGTCCTCTCTCTATTCCGATTTCTTCCTCACCAATTCAAGCATGATTTATATTTTATACGATCGTGGAATTAATATGGTCCTACATTCTTATAAATCATTATGTTTCTCAAAGATTCTTATATATTACTAATCATTGTTTCGTGAATTATACCGTTTTGAGCAAAAGAAACATTTATTTTCAATGAAGGTGCGAAATTTTTATTTTTTTCCTGATTTTTGAATTTGAAAGTCAGTAGAATTTCTGTTTCTTTGAATAACTAGAAAAATTCGTTTTGTCATTGATGAAATTCAAATTCAAAATGTTTCTTTATCGGTGACTCACGATTATAAAGTGTAAGCTGAAAATTTAATTAACGAGTTTCTGCCTGAAACTAACGATCAGAAAAATCGAGTAATTTCTACATTCTTCGACGCTTCTAATTTTTCACACTTTCACCGATTTTATTTTAATTTTCTATTACCCATTATATAGCAAACTGGGTCTTCTAACGTTCTGAAGAAAATTAAGTGCAAAATTAGAAAAGTTATCGGATTTTAAAATGTGTGCAAATTATTAATTAGTCGTTCGATTCTAGAAGATTCCGGAAGCTCTCGAAACGTCTCGAGTGCGCAAACTCGCAAATAAATACGCCGGCAGGGACGCCGATTATCAGTGTTACCGTAGCAACTAAGCGGTAAAGATCGAAGCGAGTTCAAAGCGAGTTACAGTCCAAGTCAGTCAAAGCGTACGTTTTCGCGAGTGAAAACTTATTACTAAAACAAGAAACATGTCTCTGGTACCATTGCTGTTCTCTGACTGGTGGGAGGATTTGGAACGCCCGCATCGGCTTCTGGACCAGAACTTCGGGCTGGGTCTCTACCCGGAGCAATTGCTGTCGCCGAATCGTGTGGAACTTTACATGCAACCACGAAGAAAATCGTACTACCGACCATGGGCAGAACTTCTCCGTGGAAACGAGGCAGGCACTTCGACCGTCCAGGCGGATAAAGACAAGTTCCAAGTGGTCCTGGACGTTCAACAGTTCGAGCCGAGCGAGATCGATGTGAAAGTCGTCGACAGATACGTCGTCGTTACGGCGAAACATGAGGAAAAACGCGACGAACACGGATGGGTGTCTCGCCAGTTCGTGAGGAAGTACCTGATCCCTGAACAATGCGACATCGAGCAAGTCACGTCGAAGCTGTCGACGGACGGCGTGCTGAGCATCTCCGCGCCGAGGAAGGACCAACCGAAGGTAGAAAACGAGCGTCAGATCAAGATCGAACACACCGGCAAGCCGGCGATCCAAACGAAGGGAGCCAAGCAGCAGAAGCAGCAGAATGAGGAGAAGAAGGAGGAGAAGAAGTGAAGACTTGGTGTATCTTCACATTACAATTCCTATTTAACGTAATAATCATATTCACTATTCCATCGATAGACTGCGTCGATATAAATATTCCTGTCGTATTGTCTCCTCAGTAAAATAAGATGTGATTAATACATTTAGTGATAACGCATTTCTTGTAAGTCGTTCGAATCATTTTTCGTTTCATAAAATCACGTTCTTTCGTTTAAGTTTCCACGAGTATTGTGAATATACATATGTATAGTCACTAGTCAACGTGTATGTGTTTTTTATGTTTGAATAAACTTATTAGTAAGCACTCTAAGTCTGTTTAAAGAACTTTATTCCTTCCACACGATCCTTAAACTTTCCATAAATGAAACACATATATTAACAAAATTATCCTTACTTACATTTTTGAAATCAACTCGTTTTTACGAACTTCCTTGATCTATATTTTATTTCATTTAACAATAAGAACTATTGCTGATTAAATGCAATCTGCGTTACTATTCCTCGAAATACGAATTTAAATGATTAACGAAAAACACTGACCAATACGAGCGCGTGTAGGACCAGCGCTAAGCTACGGCCAAATGTTACCATACCCGTAGTTGGGCGCGGACCCTGCGCGTACTCTCATTGGCCAGTGTTTTCCGTTAATGGTTATAAAACTATGGCTCACTTTGCATTTTACCAAAGTAAATTGTTGTTCAGAAACATCTCCAGAATCACCCCTTTTCAGCTTCACCACTTTTTCTGGGACACCCGGAACAAATTATTCTATAAATAAATAGATAACGCAATCGGCATCAAACCGACTGGCATTCGATGATACTTCACGTATAGAGACGATAGAATAAACAGCTGTATGATTGTTGCCATTTTAGTCACAGCATGGCTAAGTATAAAAGTAGGCTGTAGTGGTAGACGTAAAGATACGAATACGAAAATCATTTAATTGTCTATACGAAAGCTTCTTCATCATATTAACGATACTTATTTAAGTTTGATACATTTTATTTGGTAAATAATTACAGAAGTGACTATCCTAATATTACTCTTAGAATACTTTTGGAAATGATGGAGGTAGATGAATAATAAAACTTTAAACGATTTAACTAATTACACACCATTTATTCATACACAGGCTCACTTGTAACAATCAGACTACAAACAATCAGTAAATTTAAGAAACGCAGTAAAAAATAAAAAGGAATACTAAATGTACGAGTGTACAACAAGTGTATAATAAGTTCCTATTGACTCTGTTTCATTTTCTGAGGCTCTTCATCTTCTATCGCCTGCTGTTTCTTCACGTGTTCGATTTTAATCACTTTCTCTCGTTTCTTCTCTATAGCCTCTGGTTTTAACGGTGCCGTTATTGTTAAAATACCATCCTCGGACATACTGCTGGTCGCTTTGTCAGGATCGCACTGATCCGGTACTAGATATTTCCTAATGAAGTGCCTTGCGATTATACCATGATCGTCGTGTTTATCTTCGTGTTTTCCTGTAAAAAATAAAAAATACGTTCAGTAATCTTAGCAATAAATGAAAATAGTAAAATAATATTGAAACTACTAATTCAATTTAATAAGGAAACGTTGCTGAACGTTCTCGTACGCATGGGCGCCTGATAGAAAACGTATAGCATACGTTGCCTTGGTTCCGTTTATTTTCATCATGCAAAGAAAATCTTCCTACTATTTATTTGAATAAACGCATTAAACATAGTATCAACCTTCTACGACGATGAAATTATCGACGACTTTCACGTTAACTTCCTCAGGTTTGAATTGTTGGACATCGAGTATCACACGGAATTTGTCTTTATCACTCTTCACAATTGATTGACCGATTTCGTTATCTCGTTCCCAATCCATCCAGGGCTGATAGAAACTGTACGGTGACAGCCTGTTCGGCGATCTTTCAAGGACCGCTGAGACCAGTTGTTCCGGTCTCAGTCCTCTTCCGAAATGCTGGTCGAGCAACCGGTGCGACTGCTCCAGCGTTTCCCACCAGTGGGAAAACAATCTCGGGACTAATGTTATTCCTCTCCTCATTTTCGATAATTTATGTTTTCAATGCAATTTGCACGTGGAGATTAATGTCGTGGAGAACACGTTCGCGCTGCTTGCCGGATCTCTTTGAACTGACTCCGTGCGCATGCGATGCATTTGTATATATAGTTGCCGGTAGCTCTAAATGACAGCCGTTCTTTTCTCGAAAACTCGAGACTCATCTGTATCTATCTCGAAACTTCTTTGAAAATAGATCAAGTAATGATATGTATAATGATGTAATACGAAAATTGTAAGCATAACGCACTTCTATTTTAAAAACGGCGCTAAGCGACGGCAATTCCGCACTTGCACGTTCTTTTCTGTTTAGTCTGTTTACACTTTTTAAGGACGTATTGGCTATACAGTCAATTCTAAAAGTTTATGCACTTTAGAAACGCATTTTTTAAAAAGAAATCAGACGTCGGAAGAACAATGCTAATG